TCGGATGGACACGTCTCACCTCATCTGTCGACCAATGATGCACTTCCGATCTGTCTTAATTGAACCAGAGATTTGAGTTCTGTTCAACCAATATTCATTCCTGCAGTTTCGAAACGACTGCTGCTCTGTCTATCTTCATACACCGGATTTCGGAACTACGCTACACACGTTCACCACACTGGATTCATAGCTGAATCACGTGCGTGTGTGCGCGCACGCACACACATGTTGGAATGCACGCATGCACTGCAGCACGCACGCACACACGCGCGCACGTATACACGCATGTCTCACTCATTGAACACCACCACCGTCATGGTTCTTGCATCCAGTTTCAATCTGTTCCCTATGTTCCGTGCCAGTTAGCGTGACCAAATCATTTAGCTTAAACAAAACACGCATAAAGGTGTTCTCATTCACACCCATCCACACACCCTGATCTGCACGAGTTTCATCATATTAGGTACTTGTTGAAATCTATCTATTTATCTTGTTTCGTGATTTAAATGTTTGTTCAATAGTAGCCAATCGATTTATCTCTCTCGAGGTGCTTTCGGGGATTAGTTTCTGGTTAAGATCATTCCGGTCAAAACCCGGTAGTTATTTCAAACTTGAGAGGATATCGGAGTTTTGGATCAGGTATCCCGCCGAGGTCTACCACTGTCCGTTTGTTTCCGTTCGGTCTCTTGATCGAGTGAATGCTTGCGCAAGCATACACACACACACAAACCGCAAGCACTGAGCAGGTTTGTGTGAAGTCGGATCCAATACAGGTCTACCCGGAGAATATGATGTGACAAGGAGGAAGCTTATTGAGATTGAAAATAACATTTGACAGGGCCACCTATATTGTTGTTGTTGTTGTTCCTGCTGTTGCTGTTGCTGTTGCGGATAGCACCGATAACGATGATGATGATGATGATGATGATGATGATGATGCTGCTGCTGCTGCTGCTGATGATGATGATGATGATGATGATAATGTGCCGTTTATTTGCGTGTAAGAACGTATACGCATTGTCACACTGATTTTACAGTCGCTAGCAAAAAGATCGGTGTCTTCCATTTCTACTCGTGCTTTATTACCAAACTGCGTTCCTTAGGTGATATTGAAAACCCCATTCTACTAAAAGGAACTTTCTTAAACATATGAATGCCTATTTAATGAAGGAAACTGGCTGCACAAAACTCAGTTCGCTTGTTCCATAATATGCAATTGTGTATGTGTGTGTGTGTCGGAGGGAGGGAGGAGGGCCGAATGGGGTAGGAACGATTCTTTAGTTCTTCAGTCCCCGACTTAGCCAAGCTGGGTGGTGTTCTCTCATCCCATCGGTCAGGCGTCTGGTGGTGAGACCCACGTAACTTGCGCCACAGGAGCAATTAAACTGGTAAACACAGAAAGAAGTCATCTCCATCGGTAGCCTGTCCTTCGTCTGTAATGGGAAAACTGATTTGGAAGAGTAGAATATGCGCAATTCTGTTGCGAAATAACTAATTTCCACTACATTCTTCGGCCGTTTGCTTATTGTCCTCGCAAGGTTGTCACCTTTGAAAGGCAATATAATGCAAACCTTTTTTCTTCTCCACTGTTGGGTTCTTGGATTTTGCAATGTGAGCTCTCATACAACGATCGACAAGTTCCTCTGAGTGTCCATTTGTTAGGAACGTTGACTTAACTGTTGCCAATTCATTATTCACTGTGTCGGTAGAACAAATTCTTCTTACACGATTGGCGATGCACTAGATTAGGTTGCGCTTACGCTGCATGGGGACAAAACTATGAAAATTGATATATGGTCCTGTCCACATATTCTTTCTGTATATACTTCGTTTAATGGAGCCATCTTCCCGGCGTGACAAGTTAATATCAAGAAACTTCTTTAGTTCTTGCGTTGAACAGTTCATCCCCATTCACGGACCGTACACAGAGCTCATTCACTATGGATCATTTCACCGAGGTCTAGTTAAAATTCCAAAAGACGGTGCATTAACCCAGGATCGAATCCTGGCGACGGTACCAGTTGTTATAATTCCAAAAGGCAATGCTTGGTCGAGGACAATCATCTGTTGAGGATAACAGATAGGACATCAGAAAATTTCATCAGAATCATACCATCGCAGTTTCTGGTCACACGACGAGTAATGAATGTAGCAATCAATAGTTGTTTTCTGAGATACGGCGGTCTTCTTAATTTTTGATCGTCGAAAGTAATCCCCAACTATGTTACCTACTACTCACAAGTGAGTAGTATCTCACAACAGTACAATCAGTCCTCTCGTCATTTCTCACTTGTTGGTGATTGTGGCAGTATGGGGTGGGGGTGGAACCCCGGGGGCCTCCAGTGCACCATTCATCCGGTATTAGCATTCCATGAATATCCGGTTTTAGTTCAATTGTGCCATAAATCTGAACTGAAAAGTGAATTCCACATTTTGGCTGTGTCACACAGGTTTACCCAAATCTGATACTGTATACCCCTTGGGAAGAATAAGCTGGTAGACAAGCAAACTGGAAGTGACATACATGGACATTACAGTACAAAAATGGAGTGTGATCAAGTGGGGCAATTCAGCGATTCCTGTCCACGCGCACAGCTCCGTACCGAATTCAGACTTGTTGGAAAAAATTGAGCTTGTCGTCGACTAACTCAGTGCAATAAGCATGCGTGTATGGGTGTCCTTGTAGTCACTGTCGAGCGATCAATCAATCAATCAATCAATCAATCAGTAATATGGATACAGACAGTGAGAGGTTGGATCAACGGTAAGATCAAAACAACACGCGAGAAGGAACAGGGGAATGGTCGGTACTGATGCGTACCGACCTACCTTGATGATAGAGGCCATCTATTAATTGTATACAATGCAACGGTTTTCACTAATAGTCTGTCTGGACAGAAATATGTGACTGTGGGCGCACCATCTGTTCAATTCCTCAAACCGGATCGCAGAGCTTAGGAACCAATATATGAACTTTGACAACCGTGAAGAAAAAAAACTAAAGGGGANGGACAGAATGTGAAAGACTAGAGCTTTAATGGAACAAAATTTTCAACAATAGACCAGTCTCTGACGGTAGCAATGAGGACGGGAACGGACAAAATAAGCGCGTATGAAATCAGGAACAGGCATGATGCAACGATATATATATATATATATATCACTGGCTGGCAAGCAGGATTGGCGCAAATACAAACAGTGTAAAGCGGGTCAGATAGTCAAGTTCAAAAACCGAGAAGAACAATTTGTTTGTTTGTTTCATCGTACACTTTTTGAAATCTTTTTCTTGCTGTTTGATGTTTCTTTTCGACAGACAGACAGACCGTACAGAATTTGTGCCACTGACTTCTATTCTGCACCGTATCTCTCAGCGTCTCTAACCCAAAGATAATCCTTATCTCTTGGGCCCCAATCTGGAAGGCGGGCTGCACCAAATGAAACCGAAGCTGAAGTAACATTATTCATACCTCTACACCATGTCATGATTTGAGCTCCTCGGCGTTTCTTCCCGCACGTGCAAAGAGAGCATGGAAAGGTAGTCGATGAGAAAGCGTACGCAAAACGTGACCAAGCCATCGGAGGTAATGTAGGGCGATTACTTCCGTTGGAGACTGACTATCCACATCCAACACACGACGACAAACCTCGCCATTACTCACCTGTTGTTCTCACCAGACACGAGTAATGCTTTGGAGAGATCAATGGTTGAATATAGAAAGTCGATTAGCATCCTCAACACGGAGGGACCAGGTCTCAAAACCGTAAATTAGAACTCTACGAACCGCAGCAATGTACACCCTTTCCTTAAGGAACGGTAGCTCGACGAGGGGGACTTCCAATTTACGCCCCGTTTTCCGCTTTACCACTAACGGATTCGTTTGCTCGGTAACCGCTACTGTACTCTAGTGACGTAACTGCTCTATTTTGCCCCAGCCATTATCCTGGTTATCCAGGTAATGGTTCTTTAAGTACACTCTCTCTCTCACGTCTGATCTCATCAAATATTTCGGTGCATCCATAAAATCTGACTCACGGAACACATGTGAAGCTACCACCCTTTTTGGATAGTTAGTAAGGCTGCAAATGACAACAACAGCAAGAACAACAACAACAACAATGACGATCCGAAAAACATCTATCGGACATGAGAGCTATCCTTCTCAAACCGTCGACCGTGTAGTTCAGGGGTAACGATTTGAAGGTTCGCGGTTCAAGTCCTGACACGGGGACAGGAAAAAGCTGTTCAGTGCGCTTTGTATCGGTTATCATAAACATATTCACCGCATTTAAAGCCATCTCTCTTTCGCTCGGCGACATTTGCGGCGACATTCGCAATTTCGATGTCTGATTTCCTTTTAGATACATTGCCCATCTACTTATCGTGGGCAAATAACGCGTCTACTCTCTATTCGGTATCACCGTACTGCAAGACTACCGACTACGACTACCTAAGGAGTAAATTGACGATGACCATATAGGCACCCGGAATGAAAATTGTTCGTAAACAAACCGATAAAGGTCGGTTGATCCCTGATTACTCTCGACATTAATTTTAAGTAAATTAGTATCAGCAAGGTGAGGGTGCGCGGGGTAGAATGACAGGGAATAAGCGCATCAAAAAATGGAGCCCGATGCCTATTCGCGAGGAAAGAATGAGAAATACAGAGAGATTAATCATCAAGGAATTCCGCAATAAAATGGACAACCGAGATCGAACTGACACAATGAGGTTAATGCATTCAAATTAATAACTGGTAGGTCTCCTGTTCGTTGGATCATCGTTTCATCGTGTTTTGAATCGATCAGATCAGATGCTGGCACTCATCAGTAACTTGTTGTAAAGTAATTTCTGTGTCAGTTTCGAGTCCGTGTGTGAATGTCACTTTCGGTAGGGTAGTGAAGACGACAGACAAAGATAAGAGTTTTGAACTGATAATCTGTGAGGCCCTTGGAGTTAGAAGCGTTCACAATAACGATTAACACGGCTGTCGTACGAGACAAAATCTTTCTCAGCTGCGTCAGAAGCTTTTGCGCATTGATAGCATATACTGAACAAAGAGGATCTTTTGCCAAAAGGTGCATTGAAGTGTTTAACTGTTTCTTCCAAGTTGAGGTCCCGTGGATATTTGGAAAGGATAAAAGTGCAGTATTTTTCGTGTTCTGCTGGATCTAATTTGCGAAGTGTAGGTCGAATAAGAGAGTCACCATCAGTTTTCAGGATATTCTCATATCTGCGAAACTATGAGTCCAAAGTGACACCAACATCAA